CCCTGCGACCTCACGACTGCTGATCGGCGGCTGGTCACGTGGTGTTAATCGCCTCTCGTAACCCCCTGTACACTACACAACCGCTCGGCGCAAAACTCGCCCCGATGTCGTGGCTTCTCGCAAAAGTGGAAAATCGGCTCAAAAAAGTGAAAAAGTCGCACAGTGTACGCCCGGCTTAAGAGGTTCTGTTGCTCAAGCAGGATTGGAGTCAGCATCAAACATAAATAACTAAAAGAGGAAGTGCTGTGGTCATAACTGATGTCAACCAATTCTAACTAGCATATTATCATTAGCATACAAGCAATCAGTGTGATATGTTAGTCAAAGTTCAAGAATAAGTTAAAATGCCACCACTAGTTAGCATGCAAATGCTTACTAGCATGGTAATGGTGGCCAGCATGTTATTAATAGCTAGGAAGTGAGCAGTATGAGAAGGTAAGCGAATCAGCAATGAACTAAAATTATAGCATGATGATGCTAGCTAAATCCTAGCGTATTTAGTATCCAACAAATGAAAAACATACCATACTAAGAGTGTTTGTATTTTGTGAAATATATTCCATTTGGCTCACAATTGATAGATTTACATTTTGGCTCTATAAATGAAAAAGTTTGGATAACCCTGGTTAAAGGGGTTGTTTTATTAAATATTTGTTGTTAAGTTATAAGTCAAACAAGAAGGGTTGTCACGGTGTGAAAATTTAACCTCACGGTTATTGTGACCAAAATTATCACGGTTTTTGGTATTATCGCGGCATTTTTTTTAAACGTGTAACATTTTCAGACAACTACATAAACCCTGTATATCAGGAAATATTGTCCTCAGTTTGTGTCTAAATTTTGCCTAAAATGTGTTATTTTGTAATTATGTTGTTTATTTGTTTACATTTTTCCCCTTTAGTCTTTAAAATACCAATATTTGCCCATGACTTCTTATTTTTTGTCTGTTTGATGTCATCATTTTAAAAATATTAGACCAGATGATACTCAGTACTCAAGTAGCCTTCTAATCAGGTACTTTTTTTACCCTTACTTGAGTAATAAACCCTATATCAGGAAAATATTGTCCTCGGTTTGTGTCCTTCCAGTGAGCTTTGCAGATGTGGGAAAATGTCATCAGGCAGTAATCATTGTTAAATTCATAATTATTCTCGGAGAGAGACCAACTCTTATCTGCCCCTGGGAGCCCCGTAATGCATAGCGTCATTTCAACATGGGGGTGTCCGCGACACGGTTTATAAGCGGGTAGCGGCGCTGCGGCTGCTTTATATGGCGACTCGTTGCATTCTCCCTCAACTCAAATCCTCGGATCACGCATTTTAGCTAAAATGCTAACGTTAGCTTGCCTTGCATTGACTGTAGAGTTGTGGGTGATGGTCACGCAGATGTGTCATGAGATTTGAAGCGCTGCTGCCTTTCACAGACACTTTTTCTGCACGTGCTGCAAACAGGATAGCCGTCTTCTATCAACTGTCCCTCGGCATTCTTCAAATATCCAAAAGATGCCCGTACTTCCCACTTTGTCTTCTTTGAGGGATAATAAATGTCCTGAGCGCTGCCGTCTCCTCCTTTAGCCATTATTTCAGCTTTAGCTTCAAGAAAGTTTTGGTTGTAAACAACAAAGTGCGCATGTGCCGCCGGCAACTTTAGCAGATGATACGGTGGCTGGTAAGGGTCACCGCACCTACATTGCAGCCACGGTAATCCACCGAGATAATATATGTTTTAAAAACAAGACGGTTATTATTATTGTCAACTTTTTTACCGGGGTTTTACTGCTACACCGGTTGCCGTGACAACCCTACAAACAAACAAGGGCTGTTCATTTTTAAATAACTGTTAATATACTTGTAAGTAGGCCTAGTCTATGCTGCATTTTTACTTGTTGACACAACACTGTAATAAAAATGTTCGCATTTTTGAAGTAGTTTGATGTTGTTAGCCTTGAAAATGTTTCCGTAATAATATTGGAATTTCTTAATGCTTACATATTTGTAAATCTACTTTGATCGTAGTGGAAATTAAGACGTTTTGTTGAATGTGGTCATAAAGACATCAATTCATAACATTATTTAACATGCTGACGGCAAACTGTGCAAAACAAGTTGCAAAGAAGCAGGAGAGAGCATTTGTTTTCATGTCCCCCCAAAAATTACTCTGAAATTTTACTGTTTATTGTCCCCCCAAAATTGAAATGAGATTTCTGCCCCTGCCTGCAGGCTCCTGAGCCACTAAAAACGGCTAAATGTGCATGTGCGGCATGCTAAACACACGTGCAGCTTGCTCCTGATTGCTGTGAGACCGGGTTGGGGGGTGGGGGGTGCAGCTGTGGTTTGGGCAATTATTACATTAACTGATGGACCTGTAAATTAGTAGTTTATAAATAAGGTAGAAATAGATAGAAATAAGTTCCTCACGCTGATAAATAATAACTAATCTTTCTGAGGACGCAGTGCTAGTGCCCTCTCCTACAGTACCTTTACATACATGTTATGTAACATTTTATGAACATCAGTTTATTAGCATTTATTTGTTATAAATGCCACTGTATGATTCTTGCTGTCAGTATTTGCAAGATATTGGTATTTGGGTCTGTACTGGTTAGACTTGAATGAGTTAAACCAAGGTCTATAGCCCTTGGGTCGTAGACTATGAGCTACAAGTATATTGGTCTTTTTATACTGGGAATCTGGAGTTATTTTAGTGATCATCTTGTTTCTTATTTATTTTTGTCCTGATTGTGCCCTGAGCAATTTTATGACTGAATGAAAACAAATAAAATCAACATTAATTGAAAAATCGCCCTAAATAATCGAGATCTCAATTTCAGTCATAAAAATCGTGATTATTGTTTTTGCCATAATCGAGCAGCCCCATACCATACCACACCACATCACACCACATCATACCATACCATACCACACCACACCACACCCCATCATACCATACCATACCACACCACATCACACCACATCATACCATACCATACCACACCACACCACACCCCATCATACCATACCATACCACACCACACCACACCCCATCATACCATACCATACCACACCACACCACACCCCATCATACCATACCATACCATACCATACCACAGGAAAACATTATCTTATAAAACATCTTTCCTCTTGTTAAGTTAGTCAGTTGTACAGATTTATTTCAAACCAGACAGATGCAAATAACACCCCATAAAATACTGAAAACTGCCTTTGTGGTGGTTCTTAACGAGGCTTGCATGATCACGAGAACACACCAGTGGTAAGCTCTCAGGAACAGATGAATAAAGTCATGCTGTGGAGCAGCTGGTGGCTTCAACACCATCTTGTGAACAGATCACTGCAGCTGTGGCGGCTGCATATAAATGTAAGTCTGCTTTTTTGTTTTGTAGCTGTGATGTTACGACAACATCTTCCCATCTACATTAGATTACTCCGTCCCTTTGTGATTTACACAAAGATATAAATAATACCAGCTCAGTAAGGCTAGCAGTAAAACGATCATGCATTATGTGATGCTGTCTGGAACTAGAAGAGTCAATAACAGAGGACAAACTCATCTTTTATTCGGATGTCGGCTACAGCCATATAAAGGTTGAAGTATTCTCTCGCTCTGACACTCAAGTAGATCTGGTCAGATTACTTTCTTTTGTTTAATTTGGTTCTAGAACACTTAGTTTCATTTAAAGGAAGGGTCTGCGTTCTTGGAAGAAGCTGTTGAAACAAGCTTCATTAGAAAAAAACACTTCATAAACACCAGTCGTGGGGTGGATGTTGTCTTTCAAACTATCTCCGCATGAATTTGGACAGTGCTAGGTCCAATCACAGCAACAAACCACGTGCCTTATGGAAATCAGTCAGCAGGGCAGTCCACCATGCTCCATCCAAGAAGAAGCAAATACTTTTTTTTTTAAATAAATGACCTAAGTACCTCTATCTGCTCTTGTCTCAAAGAAGTCCAAATGGCCCAAATTTGATGCCAAAGCCATTTTATACAAGTGCTGTTCCTGAGTCGACGCCATATACGTAGTTTTTCTCTGTTGCAGCTGTAGTGTTAAGTCCGCCTAACAAAGGTAGATCACTGGCTGGACACAAAACTGCTCAGGCCAACAATATCTACAACGTAGGGCTGGGTAGTAAATCGTAAATTTATCGTTATCAAAATTTCCAACTTTTAACCAACATCAATTTTCCCATGTCAATAAATTCAGTAGTAACGGTGAAACAAACAGAAAGATGTGTGTGGGTCGGCGACATTTAAGAAGTTGTACCACATGTGACTCGATGTAATACACGTGACAGCCCCATGTAGTGGACAACTTTTGTTTCTGCGCTTACCTGTAGTTATCGTCCATTTATCGTTATCGAGGTGAACTCCTCAATATACGGTGATACAGATTTTAGCCTATATCGCCCAGCCCTGCTACAAAGGAAGCTGCAATGGATCGAGGCTAGACCAACCTGCGGAGCAAAGGCTGTTGCTAAAGCTACGGTTGGTCAAGATCCAGTGTGGAGGACTGGTTTTGTTAAACAGGAAACCACCTCCACTACTTCCTTTCAGGCTATGTAATCTAATAACTTAGCATGCTAGCTATTATAGCTAGCTCATTTCTGGCTTTACTTCCTGTTTAGCTGCTCCAAGCGATTTGTGCACACAGAGGGGTATGTGCAGAGGGGGGAGGGATGGTCAGAGGGTCATTAGATGGATGGATCAGAATCCAGTCATTAAGAACGGGAGGTTCACAATGACTGGATGAGGTTTTTCAGGTGTGATTAAATGTATTCCCTTTTTGAAAAACATGTCTTACTCCACTTTAAGTACTATTGCACCTCGATTAAATAATGTAGGGGAGAGATAACGATACACGTGTGAGGGTCTGGATCCTTTAGTCACATTTGAGTTCAGAGTTGTACTCAAGAGTTTTTCTCCTGATTTGAGTAAAGAATCATTATTAACACCTTCATGTTTGTGTGGTTTGTGTTTTTGTGCAGGTGTACCTGTTAAATCCTATAGAGAACCTAAGAGGTTACATCAACAACCGTCCACCTCTGGTCATTTTTATGATCAGCGTCAGTGCAGTGGCCATTGCCTTCCTCACCATCGGATATTTCTTTAAGATTAAGGAGATCAAGTCTCCGGCGTTGACAGAAGTAAGCTAACTCTACACACACACACATCTCTCAAACATCAAAACGTTACTTTCGTTGCTTGCTGTTCCTCAGGACTGGAACACCTTTCTGCTACGCTACAACGAGCTGGACTTTTGTGTGTCGGAGAACGAGACGATAAAACACGGTCTGAATGAGTCCACCACTCCAGAGAGCACAGTGGTGACCAGTGGTCAGGCTCGCTCCAGTACCCAGCCTCCTCTCCTGCTGGAGGACTCGGGTCCCATTAACATCTCAGTGTCCATCACCCTCACGTTGGACCCTCAGCGCCCGTTTGGAGGGTACTCGCGCAATATCACACACCTGTACGCCACAGTGCTGGGGCAGCAAGTCGGCCTATCGGGTAATGTCTCTTGTGTCAGTGTTGGTTTACTTACAAAAGAAACTGGGTTTGGCTAACGTGTATGTGTGTGTGTGCGTGTGCGCGTGCGCTTGCGTGCGTGCGTCACTTGGTTGCATCCAGCTGGAGACACTAAATTTAAAGCAAATGTTTTTATTGCTGATAAAAACAATAACGGGCTCATATTTAACTTTATAAAACCCAGGTTTGTACAGGCTGAGCGGTTTGTGTACAAGCATAATCTTTCAACAGAGCTGCAATAATACACTTTTTCCTGCATTAATAATTTAATACCCACAGCACATCTTCTGCATGGATGTAAATGGTTTTACTGGGAACGGTCAGCTTGAACTCCAATCTATTCAAATGTCATACAAACGGCCTTCATTCATTCAGATCGTTCATTCAGATTTCAACCCTGCATGTAATCCCTGCCAGGCTCTATACCCAAGAAATACACCCGCTGTATTCTAATCCAGCAAGTAGCCTTTCAAGAGACACAAGATATGAAAGGAAAAGCTAATATTAAAATGATTTGTGGGTTTTTTACCTATCTTCTAGTAAATGTTCCGTTTGTATCAGAAATGTTAGCAAAGGCCCTAAATTCCAGAGGTTTTGGTGAAAAGTCAAGTTCAACAGGCGCCATCCTGATCCATTAAAATACTGATTCCTGGTCATTTTAGGATTTATTTGTTATCTGATGCAATCTGAAACAACAGTTACCTCTTTTTGTGTTTAAACGGCAGTAAAGCCCCCCCCCCCCCCCCCCCGCCGGACCAGTTTCACAACTTACCAGGACCCAGGCTGCATACGTGACCAAGCACCTAGTTGTGTTTAAAGTTACAGTGTGTATTATCTCTGGCGATAGGGGACAGTACATACCTAAATCATTGCAAGCAAACATTATTTTTGTGTTCAAATGTGAAGGAGCGGCCTCATCACACACATTCACAGATCAGACAGGATTGTTATTGTAGCATGTCTTCATTGACTGCTCCAGCGACAGTGCATGGTGAGTTCAGGGGTGCACACCTGGACATCTGCGATGCCTTTATTGTATCATCATTCACACGAATATACGTCATAGGAGTAATTGAAACATTTGTTTTCCTGTAATATGATTGGTGTGATGAGTGGGAAGTGCTGCGGGGTGGGGAAAAAGCCACAAAGCTTGGGTGCCAGAGTGATTGGGGTTGATGGGAAAAAGCTGGGTTTTTTTTTGGATGGATGTAGAGAGACGTCTCTGTTACCGGAATACTGTAAATAAACTTTACTGCACTGCACCCTCCGATGAGCCAGCATTTTTATTGGAACGGACGGCCTCGTGACGTCAAATAAGATCTTACCAACGGATGGCCATTGGGGTCAAAAATCCATGGGAGCGCAACCTCCAGCTAAATAACAAGAACATCAGATTCCCTTTCATCAGAACATCAGATTCCCTTTCATCACTGGCTACGAGTGAAGAGTTAACTGTGTAAAACAATAATGTTAATTATTGGTGAGTTTTGTAACCATTTGTTACAAATCAGTAAATGTGTTTTGTCCTTAGGGGCTTCCATAGAAGTAAACATGGCATTCAATATGGCGTCGCCCAGAGACAGACCCGCTCCCATGTATTTTTGAACATTTTTATGGTTATATGTTGTGAAACTGCCAATATTTTTCAACAACTGGGCATCTTTTAATTCATCAACAACAACATTTTAATGGATATTTCCAGAGATTAATGGTATAAACTACACATTGTCACTTTAAACACAACTTTGGTCAAATGCGCTTTGAGTACATGTTTTTATTTGGGTAAATGTTACAAAAGGAGAAAATGTTCTCCACGTGATGGTTGTAATCCGTGTGTTTGTGTGCGTAGGTCGGGAAGCCCATGAAGAAATAAACATCACGTTCACTCTGCCCGTGTCCTGGAACTCGGACGACTGCGTCCTGCACGGCCACTGTGAGCAGGTGGTGTTCAGCACTTGCATGACCATCACAGCAACCAGCAATATCTTCCCAGTCACAGTGTGAGTTGGACCGCTTCCCCGGGTCCGTTCTGACCACACGCTGGCTTCTTGATCACTAGCAGAAGAGCCGCCATCTCTCAGAAGGCTGTTTCGTCCTTTAGTGCCAGAGTAAAGGTTGACCTTTTAGGAGTGAAATCCTTTTCTTCAGACTTTGTATCTGGACTCCATTTTAATCTCATCATTTTATTTGTTTTAACAGAAAAACTCGTTGCATTACATTATGGTAACAGCAACCAGTTCAGTATTTAATCTAAGGAGGTGGTAAAGTCCTTTCTTGGAAACCAACTGAACTTGTTCTGGTGTGACTTCAAGGTGTCTCAAAGACATAAAAGGGATGGCCAATAAAAAGATCTTTCGAAGATCCCGCCAGCATGACTTAAATCGTATTTGTGCATTTGGATTTGCAGGCAGCCGCCTCACTGCGTTCCAGAGACGTACACCAATGCCACATCTTGGTTCAAGCTGTTCACGATGGTGCGGGACTCTGAAACCAAGTACAGCCAGGACTACAACCCCTTCTGGTGTTACAAGGGAGCAATCGGGAAGGTGTACCATACACTGAACCCAAAACTGACGGTCATTGTTCCAGATGTGAGTCTCAATCTTCATATTTCCTAATCTAAAGAGTCATTACATCAGCTGGAAGCCGTTTCTGCACAGCCGTGGCTTTATGCATCTCTTAACAAATTAATAAAACCAATACGATTACAGGCAAAGCATTCGGTAAACCTTTAGAAGTTGAGCAAATGCAGTGTGTCTGAAAGCTTTGGAGATGCATCAGGAAATGTGTTTGAACCTGGAAAAGCTGCTAAAGTCCCATCTCAGCTCTTTCTGGAGATCGTGTTCACCAAAACCCGCCTCTTGTTAAAACCATAAAGTAAAACCAGTTCTTAATGGATGTTTTTCTTTTTCCAGGACGACCGATCCCTCATCAACCTTCACCTGATGCACACTAGCTACTTCCTGTTTGTCATGGTCATCACTATGTTCTGCTATGCAGTCATAAAAGGGCGGCCTGGCAAAGTGCGCCAAACCAACCCCGACTTTTGTCCTGAGAAGGTACAACAGACACCAGCAGTGCTTTATGACATCAACAGGTAGTTTCAGTCAAACTTCAGTTGACCAGTGATCGGTCCACGACACAATCCAATCATCCTTTCTCCTGATTCTCCAACTTTCTTCACTGTTTATTTCTGATGATTTCCTTCTGAAAGAACAAAAGCTCAAATGTTGGCAAATATTAACATAATCACTTACATTCTGGTTGATTAGTTTATTTACAATAAAGGATCGATGGATGGTAGAAAGGCTCCAGCTCGAAACATTTCAGATATTTATTATAATTTGAAAATTAAGATTTTCGAAGCAGAAACTTCCCTAAAAAGAGACGTCATATTAAAGGAAATGTTTTACGGAAAAACAAAATAATACATATTTATTGCTTCTTTATAATGTTGCGTTCACAGACTCCCACAGGAAGTCAGATTTTTGAGTTTTTGATTGACGATATTTGCTGAATTTCTAGTTTAGTGTCTTATTATGTAGAAAATAAATTGTTTAAAGAGCAAGTCATCCCCAAATCAGCCTTTTTTCTGATAAAATATATAAATGCGTGTCTAATCGTGCTCCAGACACGTGTAGTCAACAGTTTTGCACTTTAGTGCATTTTAGTTAAAATTTTAATTTTCTGCCTAAAACTGTCAGTGTTGTGCCGTTGTCAGGTAAAAACTCTGCACTGCATTTGAATTTAAATCTGCCATCGCTATTGGCTAAGAGGTACCCTAGAACAGTAGCTGGTACCATATGATGTCACAATGTCGTTGTGAGCCTGTGTTTGTGTGTATTTGTTAGCGGCTCCGCCCTCTCGGTCTGCTAGGCAACAGCATTTGTTGACTTGCTCTTTAATAGTTGTTGTTTGAGCTTTTTCTTTACAAATCTGTTCTAATCACCTGTAGGCCTGCTGCGGTTGCTAAGCGACGGGAGTCTGTTTGGTGTTCTGGCCTCAACTTTCTGATCTATCGCTCTATTTCTATGCCTGAGTCTTAAATTATGAGTTTTCTTTGTTTCCGCTCTTAAAGTCTGAAAATGTTTATGATGTTTCTCAAACATTGTTCTCGTTTTCATATGACTCAGCAGATTGTTGATTACATTCAAATTATTTAGCAGTTTATTGAGTTGCTGGAGGGTTCAGTTAGCTTTAATGATCAAGCACTGATCTGAATGAACATTAATTTGGTTCCTATATTATATATTTATATTTATATTTATATATATATATATATATATATATATATATATATATATATATATATACAGTGGGGCAAAAAAGTATTTAGTCAGCCACCGATTGTGCAAATTCTCCCACTTAAAATGATGACAGAGGTCAGTAATTTTCATCATAGGTACATAGGGCTGCAACAAACGATTATTTGGATAATCGATTAATCGGATGGGGTCTCGACACGATTAATCGATTAATCGGATTACATGGGGAAATTTTTAAAAACTGCTAGGGAAACGTTATTTCTCTCCTTCCTTCATTTTATTTAACACAACATTATTAGAAAACAGTTCAATAGCAGAAAAACAACATGCCATCACCTAAATTGTCTTATAAGGTGTATAGACAGAGACCCTAAGCTACATCTATCTGTGACCTAAAATGCTTGGTCCAAGTTAAACAGCTTAAGGGCAATTCTCATCTGTTTTGTTTGATCTCATCTGTTGACATTTATTTTAAATGTAATTAAACATAGGCTGTGAATTTATCAAAATTGATCACTATTTCCAAAAATGACTGAAAAAAATACCAAATAAAACAAAAGTAAATGAATGCCATCCTCCTTGCGATGATGCCCTGGGCAACTGCCATAAAGTCACATCAAGAAATGCTGCTGATAATTCCAATGATCCCAAATAGACTCACATTAGGCCACATGAAAGCAACTGAACCCAAAAATATATTAACCAGTATATAACTGCACTCTCACACAACACGCCTGCAGCAACAGTTAGGACTCCTCCCTCCCTTTTAAAAGCGTTTTTGCTTCCGAGGACATTGTGGTTGTAAAACCACATGCTAGTAGTCTGGCCCCGGTGTGATCAACCAGTTTCTGCGGGAATGTGACGGCGGAACCAGGGCCAGATTAACACTTTGTTGTACCCTGGGCAACAATATTCAAGGGCTCCATCATCACGACCCAAGGATCACCATAATGTGGTCACATACAGAATATTTTACTGTAATATGCAGTAAATATACTCAATACTTGAATGCCTGACAACACGTAACCCGCCCAGAGTAACCTTTGACCCACCTCGTGTGGACTGACCAATGAGGAGAGGGTCTTAACTTGAGGCCCTCTCTTCATTGGTCAGTCTGCATGAGACTGACTCTCAACTGACGTTCAGTCGTAGGCAGCGAAGCTTCTCTGTGCAGTGCAAAAGCCCGGGTGGACAGTTTGTTTAATGTAGGGTGACCATATTTCCATTTCCAAACAAGAGGACAGGGGATCTGTGCCTATGACGTCACACTATGGCAACGCCACACAAACCATGTTGGGACCCATTTTTTGTAAGAACTAAATTAATATCAGATTCTGCCAATTAAAGGGCTCTAAAACAATTCATATGTAAATATTTTGCATATTTAATGCAAAATCTAATTTTTCTGCTTTAGTGCTGCAACAAGGTTTTATTAATAATAAATTATTATACCTTTTGTTTTACTACAGCATCGGTAAGCTTCCTGTGCACAGATTATTAAGGATGCTTGTTTCAACTGTGAGATTAGACGATAGGATCAATGAAAAAATAAGTTGTCACAAACTCCATGGAAACTTTCAGAGAATCCACAAATAGTGGCTTTCAAATGGTTTTGTTACTTTTTGCAAGTTTATAAAATAAGCAGATGAGACAGCATGTCTGATAATTTAGTTTTTCATCTGATAATATTAGAGCATGTCAGTAATGTCTGAGGGGCTTTTATAAACACCATATAACTAACACTACTGGAGAGGGCATGAATTACACAGAGGCTTCTGGGGAGCCCAGTTATTGGGGGGGGGGGGGGTGGGGGGGGGGGGGGGGCATTTTGCCTTGGCCCCCAAAATGTCTTGAAACGGCCCTGGGTGTGTGACTGAGTTTTGAAGGTGATCTGAACTGTATCAGATGTATAAATATGACATGTGTATAACTTATTGTTTTTTACTGGTAAAAACGTGTAGTGGAGATAAATCTACCTACATTTTACTTTTCAACACTTTGTTTTGTTTTCTTGTTTTTATTGAACTATTTTCCTGTCCTGTCTGTCTCTCATCTTCCTGCATCTCCTCTTAATTCTCCAGAAAATCTGTTGCCTGGATTCTTACCTTTTCACCTCATCAGTTACTTTTGAGCAGGTCAAAGGGATCTCCTGACCGAAAAGCGCAGAGCGCGTTTTCGATGCTGCGTGAGGTGACATCACCACAGCACAGGTGATGAGCTCCGCAGTAGCGCGCTTCAGGCACAAATAAGACAGAAAATAGAGAACATGTGCGGACATGAACGATCGTGTGCTAATTATAGTTTTTTGGTTGCGCCACTTTGAGAATGGACCGTGCGCTGGAAGCAGCTGCCTGGATCGCTGTGCAACAATGCGGAACCGGTTCGCAGCAGCGCAAGTCTGCCGGCTCTCCCTCGCGCTGATCTGCCTGTACCGGCTCTCCCTCGCGCTGATCTGCGGCTCTCCCTCGCGCTGATCTGCGGCTCTCCCTCGCGCTGATCTGCCGGCTCTTCCTCGCGCTGATCTGCGGCTCTCCCTCGCGCTGATCTGACTTGCTCTGGTCTGCGCGCAACGGCGGGCGGGAAGGGGGGGCGCTTTTGGAAGAGTTGTGCGACACAACGAATCGATGACGCAATTCGTTGCCAACGCTTTTAGTAATCGATTTTCATCGAATTTATCGATTCGTTGTTGCAGCCCTATAGGTACACTTCAACTGTGAGAGACAGAATGTGAAAAAAAATCCACGAATTCACATGGCAGGATTTTTAAAGAATTTATGTGTAAACCAGGGTAGAAAATAAGTATTTGGTCACTTCAGACAAGGAAAATCTCTTGCTCTCACAGACCTGTAACGTCTTCTTTAAGAAGCTTTTCTGTCCTCCACTCGTTACCTGTATTAATGGCACCTGTTTGAACTCATTATCTGTATAAAAGACACCTGTCCACAGCCTCAAACAGTCAGACTCCAAACTCCACTATGGCCAAGACCAAAGAGCTTTCGAAGGACACCAGGAAAAGAATTGTAGACCTGCACCAGACTGGGAAGAGTGAATCTACAATAGGCAAGCAGCTTGGTGTGAAAAAATCAACTGTGGGAGCAATTATCACAAAATGGAAGACATACAAGACCACTGATAATCTCCCTCAATCTGGGGCTCCACGCAAGATCTCATCCCGTGGGGTCAAAATGATCATGAGAACGGTGAGCAAGAATCCCAGAACCACACGGGGGGACCTGGTGAATGACCTGCAGAGAGCTGGGGCCACAGTAACAAAGGTCACCATCAGTAACACACTACAACGGCAGGGAATCAAATCCTGCAGTGCCAGACGTGTTCCGCTGCTGAAACCGGTGCATGTCCAGGCCCGTCTGAAGTTTGCCAGAGAGCACATGGATGATACAGCAGAGGATTGGGAGAATGTCATGTGGTCAGATGAAACCAAAGTAGAACTTTTTGGTATAAACTCAACTCGTCGTGTTTGGAGGAAGAAGAATACTGAGTTGCATCCCAAGAACACCATACCTACTGTGAAGCATGGGGGTGGGAACATCATGCTTTGGGGCTGTTTTTCTGCTAAGGGGACAGGACGACTGATCCGTGTTGAGGACAGAATGAATGGGGCCATGTATCGTGAGATTCTGAGCCAAAACCTCCTTCCGTCAGTGAGAGCTTTGAAGATGAAACGTGGCTGGGTCTTCCAACACGACAATGATCCCAAACACACCGCCCGTGCAACAAAGGAGTGGCTCCGTAAGAAGCATTTGAAAGTCCTGGAGTGGCCTAGCCAGTCTCCAGACCTCAGCCCCATAGAAAATCTGTGGAGGGAGTTGAAAGTCCGTGTTGCTCGGCGACAGCCCCAAAACATCACTGCTCTCGAGAAGATCTGCATGGAGGAATGGGCCAAAATACCAGCTACTGTGTGTGCATACCTGGTAAAGACCTATAGTAATCGTTTGACCTCTGTTATTGCCAACAAAGGTTATGTTACAAAGTATTGAGTTGAATTTTTGTTATTGACCAAATACTTATTTTCCACCCTGATTCACAAATAAATTCTTTAAAAATCCTGCCATGTGAATTCATGGATTTTTTTTTTCACAATCTGTCTCTCAGAGTTGAAGTGTACCTTTGATAAAAATTACTGACCTCTGTCATCATTTTAAGTGGGAGAACTTGCACAATCGGTGGCTGACTAAATACTTTTTTGCCACACTGTATATATATATATATTGCTGAGATTGATTTTATTGTTTTTCATAGTAAACAGTGGCTCCTTTCAGCTTTTAACCCACAAAATAACAGCGAATATCTGTGGCCCCAATTTTCACACAAAGGTAAAAAAAATAAAAATAAGAAACATAAAAGCACTCAATATCTCAGTTTGAACTATTAACAATTAAAAAGCTAAATTAAAAAATATCTAAGTATAAACACAAACAGCTTCAACCTTAAACCAACTAATTAAATCTATTTATATATATATTGTTTGTGGCTTTTGCATCAACTATTGTGAATCTAGGAGGGGTCATGACCTCAACTTTGAGAACCTCTGGAGGCAGTTAAAAAATTTCCTCAATAAGTTTTGATAAATATTTTTATCAAATACTTGGCTGCAAACCGCTCCAGCGAAAGCTGGCTTCATCAGAACGTGATCTTCAGCTTTTGCTGGAGCGGTTCGCAGCCGAGTGTGAAGCAGCTGGGATGAGAATCAGCTCCTCTAAATCTGAGACCATGGTCTTGAGTTGGAAAAGGATTCCTGTCCCTTCTCCTGGTCAGGGATGAGGTCTTGCATAAAGGTCAAACTGGTTACAGAAGATGAGGTGGTACGCTTGTCCCAAACGAAGCAGAAGATGGTTGTTATCACCACTCTCCTACTGGAACTAAAACCTCTATCTCACAGATGAATGCTAATAATAGTTTTCACCTAAAGTAATCATTTCTCAGCTTTTATTGACTTATGTGTACAAGAATGTCTCATTTTGTTGTGTTGTTTTGCCATTAAAGACCAAAACTCACCCGTTGTGTTGCAGGTGGCGTTGTCAGAGGGTTAAGAAGACATCAGAGAGCTCCGCCAGAGGTTACCTGTAACAAGGACTCAGAGAAGCAGAGGAAATGAAAACTCCACATCCCAGTTGCCTAGTAAACCCTGGATATACAATAAGGGACACAAAAGTTCTGTGAATGCATTACTCTCGCAATGTTGGGGTTTCTCCAACCAAAGATTTACAAGTGCCTGTTTCTGTGGTGTAAATATACAGTCAGGTCCATAAATATTGGGACATCGACACAGTGCTAACATTTTTGGCTCTATACACCACCACAATGGATGTCAAATGAAACGAACAAGATGTTCTTTAACTGCAGACTGTCAGCTTTTATTTGAGGTATTTACATCCAGATCAGGTGAACGGTGTAGGAATTACAACAGTTAGCATATGTGCCTCCCACTTGTTAAGGGACCAAAAGTAATGGGACAGAATAAGAACCATAAATCAAATGTATACATTTCAATACTTGGCTGCAAATCCTTTGCAGTCCATTACAGCCTGAAGTCTGGAACACATGGACATCACCAGACGTTGGGTTTCATCCCTGGTGATGCTCTGCCAGGCCTCTACTGCAACAGTCTTCAGTTCCTGCTTGTTCCTGGGGCATTTTCCCTTCAGTTTTGTCTTCAGCAAGTGAAATGCATGCTCAATCAGATTCAGGTCAGGTGATTGACTTGGCCATTGCAAAACAGTCCACTTCTTTCCCTTCAGAAACTCTTTGGTTGCTTTTGCAGTATGCTTTGGGTCATTGTCCATCTGCACCGTGAAGCGCCATCCAATGAGTTCTGAGGCATTTGGCTGAATATGAGCAGATGATATTGCCCGAAACACTTCAGAATTCATCGTGCTGCTTTTGTCAACAGTCAAATCATCAATAAATACAAGAGAACCAGTTCCACTGGCAGCCATACATGCTCATGCCATGACACTTCCACCACCGTGCTTCACTGATGAGGTGGTATGCTTAGGATCATGAGCAGTTCCTTTCCGTCTCCATACTCTTCTTTTCCCATCACTCTGGTACAAGTTGATCTTGGTCTTATCGGTCCGTAGGATGTTGTTCCAGAACTGTGAAGGCTTTTTTAGATGTTGTTTGGCAAACTTTAGTCTGGCCTTCCTGTTTTTGGGGCTCCCAATGGTTTTCATCTTGTGGTGAACCCTCTGTATTCACACTGGTGGAGTCTTCTCTTGATTGTTGACTTTGACACAGATACACCTACCACCTGGAGAGTGTTCTTACCCCAAAATTCCACCATCTCCGCCCCCGCTTTCCGCCGCTGCTCACTTCCGAACTCAAATTATACTGGTACCCGCTTTACAACGGCTCCGCTCCGGTGCGGAGACCTGAGGTGCGCAAACAGGCATGCGCGGGATTTTCGAGATCTTGCGATACAGTCCGAGCAATAAACGCAGAAGGTAGATCCAAACACCCGTTGTGTGGGAGAAGCATCGAAATGAACTGTTTAATCTGCCCATCATTTGTGTTGAGAGATCAGCAGTGTCTGAATCAACAAAGGGCGACTACCTTGATAGTGGAAACTGTATTTATGGCTTATTTTTGTGCATTTAAAGTTCAACCACCATTGATAGTTGTTAAAAGTTGTTAAACCTGTGCATATGAAACAAAATACGCTTTTTGTTTATAGATTTATTGTGAAATAACGGAAGTTGTGCTTGCTCCTTTTCCTGTTGGGCGGTTGTGATTTCTGTCCATTGACTGCGGAGGTGCTTCGGCGTCCGGCTAAAATAGAATCATAGAATCGATCCTATTTTTGCCGGAGGGCGGCGCACTGCGCCGCACGGCTGCAGTAGTGGAACAGCTCTGATTGACTACAACGGGACCGTTTTTGCTGCGGAGTTCGTGCCGGAGCGCAGCGGAGTTAGTAGAATTTTGGGGTTAATCTGGCCAACTGTTGTGAAGGGTGTTTTCTTCACCAGGGAAAGGATTCTTCGGTCATCCACCACAGTTGTTTTCCGTGGTCTTCCGGGTCTCTGGTGTTGCTGAGCTCTCCGGTGTGTTCCTTCTTTTTGAGAATGTTCCAAACTGTTGTTTTGGCCACGCCTAATGTTTTTGCTATCTCTCTGATAGGTCTCTTTTGTTTTTTCAGCCTGATGATGCCTTGCTTCACTGATAGTGACAGCTCTTTGGATCTCATCTTGACAGCTGACAGCAACAGATTCCAAATGCAAATAGCACACTTGAAACGAACTCTGGACCTTTTATCTGCTCATTGTAACTGGGATAATGAGGGAATAACACACACCTGGCCATGGAACAGCTGAGAAGCCAATTGTCCCATTACTTTTGGTCCCTTAACAAGTGGGAGGCACATATGCAAACGGTTGTAATTCCTACAACGTTCACCTGATTTGGATGTAAATACCCTCAAATAAAAGCTGACAGTCTGCAGTTAAAGCTCATGTTGTTCGTTTCATTTGATATCCATTGTGGTGGTGAATAGAGCCAAAAATGTTAGCATTGTGTCGACATCCCAATATTTATGGACCTGACTGTATGTTGGAACTTACGTGTAAAACCTCTTTGTTATTATTTCATCTTTTGTTTGTTTGCCTGAGCTCCCGTGTGCTGCGCCAGAACAAACTCCGACTCGACGCAGTTTCACCACCAGGTTTTGGTTTCTGAGACGCGTCGTCTTTTCTCCTATTAGCGTAAAACTGAAATAGCTGCAGATGCTCTAATATATGTTAGCTTTACCTCAAGTCACTATTAAAGAGAATGATAAAGGCAGATTGAAAGGTTTGTCCTATGCAATATTTTTGTTTCATCATCAGTGATTAAAGTGGGGTTAAATATTTAGATAATGTTTTCTTAGCATTTAAATAAGCTGCAATGTTTCTTCTGGCAGTTTATTTTGAACAGAATTCATTAACTTTGGGGGGAATTGATTTAACACCCTGAAAATTTTCCCTCCAACGTCCAAAAGTTAATTAAAAAAGCCAGTGTGTTTGTAGTGACACCCGGTGGCACAAGTGAGAAACTGTAACAAATTGGTTCGATATAATAGCCATGATTAAAAATTGTTCTTTTATTATTATTATTATTATTAATCTCTGCCAAACATATAAACTTTAGACACTGGAATTTTAATTTTCAAGGTGATTTTGGATTATGTTTTTGTTTTTGTTTGGGCAGTACAAGATCAGTTGCACATGTTTCAAGTGTTTGCATAGTTAGTTCTGCAGATTTCTTGCACATTTTAGATTCTTTTCCAAGACGACGTGTCAACTGTCTAAAATTTAATCGACTAGTTGTTTTCCATGTGAAGCTGAGTATAATTCTGTATCAACTAGTGCCGTCAACATGAATCTGTGATTAATTATAAGAGTAACTGGGAGTATGGCTCCGCTGGTAGCCCTATTTTCATACGGCGCTTAATTAAAAGATCGGATCGCTTGAAAAATGCATATCTTTCTATAAATGTGCTGTTGAGCGTTTAACTGCAACCGCTTTACGAGCATTTTTTTGTGATTTTATCACAAACGTGTTAAAGAACATGCGCATTAACTCGCTGTGTGAAGGAGAGCGAGTAGACGGCTGTTCTCTGAAGTCTGTTTCAGGCTCTGATATTGAGTTTAATAGTCGTTTAATCAAAGCTAAATTATGTTGAAGGAGAATCGGAGGACTAAAAGTTATACTGTGTTTTTTTTGTTTTGTTTTTCCCTGATGAGTTTCTTTGTATGATAATTTTGTCCATATTTAATGTACCTGTTGAATGTACTTTTTATAAGCAGCATAATCTAAGTCCGAGATGCAAGAATTCCAAGTGATTTTTGTGATTTAGTTTGAAAGGCTTTACTTGAATTGTGTTTTATGTTTCGAGTGATTTAGGATTTATCTTTTTTGTGGTAAAACTGAATCTGTTGTCTGAAGCATTTTTTGGGTTTGTTTGTGTTAAAGTGGATGAGTGATGCTAGGACACAAGTCTTCCTGACTGATGTGCGCTGGCTTCCTTTTACCTTCAGCTTCAGTTGCTTTCACAGTTTGCTTTGAAACCCGGCAGCTTTGTGTTTTTCTCGAGGAAGTGGAGGAACGTCTGACCGGGTGCTTGTGAGTTAGGAACATATTTTACAGAAGATGTGATTGTAGCATGCCACGTTATTGCCAAACTGTCCCCGTGTCATCTTTTGCCTGCGTCTTTCTGGTTCCTGTCCATCTTTTGTTTTCAACCTTTGATAGAATTGCCTCTTGTTAACTGCAGATTGCCTTAGCATTGTCCAGTTTTACGCGTTATTGCTTCCCATATATTCAAAACGAAGTAAACTGAAGGGGTTTAAACAGTAACAAGTCTTCTGGTGTACATTTAGATGAGTGAGTTTTTAATGAGCAGCTGCTTGGACTCCACCAGTAGGACCGGTGGAGTCCCGTCTCTTTTAAGTTGCACCATGTTGAATTAAACAAACCTCCATTATAATTCTGCCATGTCACACACCTTTGTAATCTTCCCGTCATGTTAGCAGTGCTTACACGCAAGTATGAAGCCAACTCTGTGCCTTCTGCACTGTCGAGCTGCATCCTCCTTCCTGTACATATACTAGATAGGTTTTATTGTGGCTAAAGCGTCATTCAAACCCCTTTTCTCTTCAGTGGGACTGCTGTAAATGAACCGAAATAAATCGTTTGAAAAGTTCAACTCTTGTGTGTCCTTCATTGCTGTTTCTTTTAACACTAGAGTTAATTTCAAGGCAGATGTTGATTCTGACCTGGAAAAGCAAGACCTGCCCCCCCCCCCCCCCCCCCCCCCCCTAGAAGAAATTCATCTCAGCAGCTTAATTCTGCACTGCTGCAGGACTGGATTGCAGCCGTTGTTGATGCACCTGCTGTTGAGTTTGCTTTTAACAGATTTTGCTGAAAATAATGATTTGTTAATCGATAAATTATACAATGATGATGGTCTGAAACATTGGGTGCTAGAGGTTTGAGCTCATCTGAGTGACAAGAAGAGGCATGTGGTGTTTGGCTGTTCTGAAAGCTGGTAAAGGGTTAGGGCTGCTGGGGTTCACTTTGTTGACCATGCATTAGGTGCAGCAGTAGAACAAACCGTTCTTGCACATGAAGCAATTTCTTTAGCATTCTTATTTTACAGAACTTTCATTTAATAGCAAGGGTAAGCTATTGATTAAGTCAGTGGCGGTTTTACCATTAGGCATAGGTCGGCGGCTGCCTGGGGCCCCCTTATATTGGGGCTGCTGGCACCCCTCTGTTAATGCCACAATGGACTATTCCTTTAAGCACAAACAGGAAGTGATTGGTAGTCTTTCCACTCCAATCCAGTTGGTGGCAGTAATGCTCCAAATTGCTTGCCTCACATTGTTTACATGCAGCCTCTGTTCGGGTTTTGATTTGTTTTAAGGTCAGGATTCTTTTTTCTGAAAAATGTGGAATAACCCGTTCACATCCACAGTGTTTAAAAGTGTGGGTGTTGAGATTTCTCTGAGGTAAAAAGGATGATCAGTAATAAAGTGCTCTAGGGGTGTCGGGGGCATGCCCCCCCCCCCCCCCCCTTCCCCCGGAAAAAGATTATGGGACATTTTAAATTTAAACGCATCAGACTGGTGCATTTTTGTGTGTGTGTGTGTGTGGGGGGGACATTCACTTAATATTAATTAGAAAATTATAAGTAACAGGTCACTACAGTCTGGACATAGAAAGTGTTTCTAGGAACTAACGCTTGTTCAGCAGCTCACCTGTTCCACTGACAGGAGAAATCCTCTCAGCAGCAGGTGGTCAGCAGTCATGACTGAACACCGGCCCGAAAAAAACTGAGACAACTAAAAACACCGACCTCAGATCGGCCCATCGGGAATTTGGGTCCTGGTTCCGCTCATCACGTTAACTCTCATTGTGATATCAGAGCTTTATTGGCTCTGTTAGAATCCCAGCACCTGGTGTGCGCGCTGTTTGTTTTTGTGTGTATCGCAAGCCTTAGGGATCACAATTCGCCCACTTTTGAGCACGTTTGGTTGTTTCACAGTGTCTAAATCTCCATCTTTAAACTTAAAAACGCCGAAAAAAGCGGCGGAAATCCCTTCAGAATCTGGTCTGGCATAGAAGTCCCTCAGACCCCTGATCTATGCTCACTAGGAGACAGATCCCAAATACCAAATGTTTCAAGAGGAATCTTCTGTGTCATTACGGTCGGAGCATATCGGCATTTATGAATGTAATGTTTTGTTATAATAACAAGATTATTAATTAAAAATTCACCATTTTTTTCCTTAAGAATTATTCCAATTTGGATATTCTGAAAAGTCCAGAAATGCATATTCCTAAAGTGAGAGATTATTAGTGCATGGAGAGATTTCCATAAGTTTTGGATTATTGCACACCCATAGAACAAATGCTCTGTAGTTTCCAAAGTTGTATCACACATATAACAAGTCTCTCACAAAAATTTAAATCGCTCACTCATGAATACATTAGAAGGGTAAATATTTTTTGTAGATTTAAAATGAACTTCTTTAAATTTGGGGGGAATTGGAAATTTCAAATATTTGGTTCTAATTGATGACACGTCTGATTTGTTGTAATTTTTTTAGAATAAAAGAGTGTTTAGTTTCACCAGGATATAAAGTATTAACCAAATACCTTCTCAGAAATTGATTATTGCATTTTTCATTAATAAGATCAAGACCACCTAATTTGGTTTTGTGTAAATTTGGAGACATTATGTTTGAACTATTGTACTTCATTAAGTTAATTAGAGCTATTGGATATTTTGTGTAACCTTTTTATAAAGCTCCATTGGGCAGCTCATATCAAATTTCTCATTAAAGCTTTTTAAGTCAAGTATATCTCCATTTTCACCTATTAAATGTGTGATAAACCAGATTTGTTTAGTCATCCATCCTTCCACAAACATGGTTTTCCCCCAATTCAAAATCACCCTGTTATTCCATAATGGAACGTTATGAGGACTAAAATTATGTTTAAACATTAACTTCCAATTTAGTTATTTTTGCAATTATCAAGTGTGTTCTGAATATTATTTGTTTCACTTTCATCTGAGCATTTAGTTACGGTAACCAAATTCCCAGATATTTGATTTCATTTTTGACAGATATATTATACAAAGAAGAGTAAGAACAACTATGAATACCTTAAGTTCACATTTGTCCAGGTTCAGGTTGTAGCGCGATGAAGGTTCTCTGATTTGTGGCAAAGGTCACTGTTACTCCCCTCGAGTCTTAATAAAGCTCAACTTGTTCTTTGGTTTTACCGACATTTATTTCAGACAGGAGGATTCTTCGACATGTCTTAACATGTAATGATGTCCAACCACAGCCGATACAATGCCGTCAGAACTATAAAGAAGTACAAACTTAAATGAATATTCTTAATAAAGTCCTTAAGCATTATATGACGAACATTTCAACAAATCGATCAGTACACGTTACGTTACACTTCACACTGCAGTAATTGCACTAGAATGTCACGCAAATTTACGTAATTTACATACAACGATAATAAACAAAAGAAAACATTTACCTCATTGGCCTCACTCAAAGGGAATAAACTTTAATCCTTACGCCGTGAGGTAATTCAAAAAAGGCACTCTTTTATTTTAACTTAATGCAGACGTGCAACCTCGTGGCTCGTCTCTTAATTGCTTGCTGAGTGTGCAAAGAAAAATGCCCCCTTAGCATCAACGGACGGAACTATAGAAAAGGTTCCCATCTAATTGCACAGTTAACACAAATACACATTTAAACATATAAATCTAATGAACAGAACATGAATTACTATTGAAATATTATTTCTCAATCTTTCAACTACTAATTGTTTCAACATTAAATCCAATAAAATTAACTTAAATGCGAGAGTTGCCTTTGACGGCAGCTACACTCCCACCAATCACTTGTGATTTTTACCCATGAACTTATGAAATGTACACTAATCTGCTTCTAACAATGTCACAGTCTTGTGTATAGGTATGTCAAGTAGAACTGGTTTACTCAGTCTCTTTCCATGATCATCTAACAATGAGTCACTCATTAACAGTTGTACTTTGCGTATACATCCATCTTCACTCAGGTGTATGGCAACAACTTTGGCCAACTTCCAGTCGTTTCTCGATGCTTGGTCATCTTGTACGATCACTATGTCATTGACCTTTGCATTTCTGTTTGTTTTGAGCCACTTTTGTCTTTGTTGTAGGCTCAATAAGTACTCTTTCTTCCATCTGTGCCAAAACTCATTGGCTAAGTACTGGACTCTACGCCATCTTTTGCGAACATACAAATCTTCCTTTACAAAGTCTCCTGGTGGTGGCAGTATTACTGACGACTTCATGGTCAACAGAAGATTAGGTGTAAGTGGCTGAGGTCCAGTAGGATCGTTGAGTAGATGTGGAGTAATAGGTCTGCTGTTAACTATCGCGTCACTTCATAAAGATAGGTTCTCAGAGATGAACTGTCCAATGATCTGGATGACTGATCCAGAATGGTTGTCAATACACTTCGGATCGTACGAATTTGCCTTTCCCAGGCTCCACCCATATGACTGGCAGAGGGAGGATTCATCACAAACTCGCAGCCTAGCTGTTTCAGACTTTCCTGATCCATTTCCTTTACTGCTTCCAGAAACTCATGTCTGGCTCCAACAAAATTGGTGCCATGATCTGACGGCAACTGACGTACATTCCCACGCAAAGCGATGAAAGAACGCAGTGAGTTTAGAAAAGCGTCGGTTGAGTGCTTTCCTTAATACGCTGAATGCAATTTGCAATGAAAACATGGAAACGTCTTGCATCATTGTTGATATATCCCAAGACAACTTGAGAATCTGTCCAGAAGGATTCTTGAGCATCTTCTAGCTCCAACTCTGCTTTGAGCATGTCACTAATCTGCACTGCTACAACTGATGCAGACAGCTCTAATCTTGGAACCATAGTAACCTTCATGGGTGCTACTCTGGACTTGGCAAAGACAAGAGGCAAGACTCATTTCACGCAGTGTTAAAAGGACACAACACATTCCTTTCACTGATCCAATCAGAATCTTACAGATCTGACGGAGGCGTGCTTCTGACGGTGTTTGGTAATTTTCATTCGACAATAAACCATAACATCCGAGGTATAAAACTACGCCACGTCAGCTCTAACGCCCGTTCAAAGCGTTCAGAGTGAGTGTCGGAGTGGCCAATCCTGACCTTTAACTCTTCAACCGAAAGAACCAACGACAAGCTGAAAAATCCAGTCACTATAACAACCAGCGGCAACAACAGCTCCTTTCAGAATAAAAGCTCCATCTACTGACCCAGGCTTGGGTCTGACCAGACGCCAATAACGTGTTGTGTGCCGGCGGTAACTCAAGACGGGTCTGATCGGAACAGCGGCTTCTCCTACCGGCCCGGTTTCCAGAGAGGGTTCACTGGACCTCGATATTCCTGATCTACAGAGGATACTTCCACCAAAGGTAAGGTAGACCGGCAAATGGTGTCTCATGCTGTTTCTGAAACTAACCAAAGCTCAATTCAAAACAACAGAACACGACCAGAACACTCTGCAGAGGAAGATGAAGTGGCAGGCATAAAAGGTGCATATATATTTACATGTACCTAATTTTTGAGAAGAAATCAAAATGGAAATTATAATTTCTGTGTTTAAAGTGTAATACAAACAGAAGTGGTGCA